AACCGCCGGTTTCGAAATTGCGGTTTCGATTCGATTTTCCGATTTGACGATTTTTGCTTACAGCCCTAACGAAATCCTCAAAACAAGAACATGCATGTGAGGAAAATGCTGGGTTCTGAGCCCATTATTATAGGGTCTGAACAATCATTAAACTTTAACAAATCCGTACTCTGTAACACTGAAATTGCAAACTTCGATACATTCTATGTTACACTTCCATTTCTTTATGCCGCCCACGTGGCTACAATACAAGAATCGTTTGTAATAATTTTGCTAAGATAATGCTAAGTTTTGGTGGGTGTTAGTGTCAATCTGTGGGCTAAGGAAGATTAAGGTTTTAATTAATAGGTTTACCGGCGATTGTTTTGGAATAATAATATCTTAAATATTGATTTGCTTGCTTTTCAGTATTATCTAATGTATTGGTGTTTAGTTATTAGTGACTAATAGTTTCTAGCTTTGAACATACCATTTGTTTAACGATTTTAGGTTTATTTAAAAAAAATTCAATCCTCAATAAATCTGAACTCGAACATTCTTTATACATTTACATATCTTCTTCGGTCCTTATTTTTCATCTCATTAGCAGAATGAATGGAGTTTTATCCAAACTATTACAGCAAAATGTGACTCTTCATTTACCAACCACTATATGACAGTAAGAAAGGCAAACAAAAAAAGGTAAATAAAAAGGAAAACAGATATATTCGTTTTATTAACATCTTTTAGCAACCNCAAACTATTACAGCAGAATGTGACTCTGTCTTTACTAACCACTATATGACAATTGAAAGGCAAACAAGAAAAAGTAAATAAAAAGAAAGAAATATGTATTCGTTCTATTAACATCTTTTAGCAACCAACTTTGAAAATAATTTATTCACGGGTTTCATGGGAAAAATGAATGTAATTTAATATTTAACATTATTAGTTCTCATTTAAACTTATGTGTTAACTTGTTTTAAATATTACTATGATGTCGATAGGTAAATCGCGGATTAAAATCGAACCAAACCGCAAATTATAGTTTAGTTCGAAAAGGAAAATGGTTTGATTTGGTTTGGTTAGAAAAAATTACAAACCACATCAAATGGTTTGAGTTGAAATTATGGCACAAACCGTCCAAATCGAACCATGTTCACCCCTATCATTTAATATGAATTTCAAATTAGCCCAATATTGATGAGAGTAATTCTCAATCATTTATTGGCATTGAAACTTATTTTCACCTTAGTCCCTTAAGATCTCGAAACTATTAAAAGGTTATAATCTGGTTTTTATAATTCATTAAATTGCACCTTACTTGAGTTTCCCCAATTAATAATTTTTAGAAATTGTTATATACACTTAGATAATATTTTCTCCACCAACAAAATAATTATGCTATCCAAATCTTCCGAGTTGTCAAAGATAATTTATTTTGGTACTCTATTTTTTGAATTATACAAAGTTTTCATTTAAAATATAAATAGACAAGTCCAGTTGTCAAAGTGGATCAATTGACTTGAGTTTGACAACGATCGTAAATACAAAATTCCATCGACAATTGTGTATACAAGATACGTATAATTAATTAAAAACATTAAATTATCTATTACCAACTTCTCAACAAATTTTAGGTTTAAATTTCTAATAGCATTCTTATCTAGAATTGTGTCTAGGTAAAAACCTTAAGTATTAATTAATTAATAAAGAGAATAAATTAAATTGTAATTAATTGTAGAAAAAAATTATCTTTTTCTTTACAAAAGCATTTTAGGTGTATCAACCTCGTTTTAAATGATACATGACTCTCACAAGTACATGTGATGCTGAAATATAGAATAATCTAATTAAATGAAAAGGCCAAAAAGCTACAAGGTATTTTACCCACACACACACAATTCAAATCTTGTTATCCATAACCCAAAAATTAATCAAGTTAAGAAACAAGAATGGGTAAAAACAACACAATAAAGAATTGAGAGGAGGCGAGACACTTGAGAAATGGCGAAAGACGACAGTCACGAGTTAGGTGAAAGACAAGAGGCAAGACTAAGGATCTTCACTTTCTTTCCCTTTTTTGGACGAGAGAGAGAGATGGAGGGATTAATTTTTTTTGGTGAGAAATTATATATGCGAGCAATTTATATTAATAAATAAATTTCAATAGCATTGAGATAATTAAAGATTTGAAAAATCATCATTTGTTCAATGGTTTTGTGCATGACAATAAATTTTCAATATAAGTAAAGAAGTGGTGTGAATGAATAGCCCACGAACTATTAGAGTAGCGACACTCCACAACTATGGTTCCAAATTGTGTTGATATAGATAATGGATTTACGACATGGAAATATAATTATTCCATTCAAAAACGACCAACAACATCACCCTCTATAACTTTTCTAATTATTTTCCTATTAATAATTAAATTTGTGCCAGCTAAAATTATGTTGGTATTTAAAACAATAAAAAAATGTATCACCAATGAGAAAATATATTGTAAGAAAATAACAAGTTAAATACATAAAATTATCGGTGTTATAACATGTGTGCATATGTTCGGGGCATTTTCAAAGAGCATCGCATGTGGGGTATGCGCGTGATAATACGATCAACTCATTTTGTTGACCATATATGTGCGCATAAAAATTAGAATGCACACACATTTGTGTTAAAAAAATTGTGTTCAAATTAATCTAGCAAAGTCGAACTCATTTCTATAATTAAAAAAAAAGAAGAAGAAGCAAATTGATCCCAACAAAGATCAAATTATCCCAAATCATCCAATTTCATGAATTATATACAACAATCTATAGGATTTTGACGTTTAAAAATATCAAAAATCAAAACAAGTTTTTTGTATTGTTACAAATTATCAATGTTGAGTCCAAGTTTTATTCTTTTTCGATATTCCTCTGATTTCATGGTCAATATCTTTATCAAGTTGCAGAAACTTGAATGTGCATTTTTCATTTTTGTATTACTTACCTAGGGTATGTTTGATGGATATTATTGAGAAAATAATGTATCTTAAATAGGATATGATGAGAAATATGTGGTTAAAAAGTAAAGAAAAGTTATTGATATGATAGAAAATATTATTTTATTGAAAAATGTGTGATTGAAATGAGTTTTGAAAAAATGTATTTTGAAAAAATATACCAAATAGGGGCCTAATTAGAAATTTGAATGTTTTTGTCTCCTCTACTTTTTAATGAATGAAAAGAGGAATAATAAATTAGAAACTTTACTAGCAAGTAATGCTAATAATGTACAATCTTAGATTGTTGATGGTTATGATGATGTAGAAAAGGTTGACAATGACATATTATCATCTACAAGAGGTAATAAAAAATTTGGAATTAAAATAAGGGAACTCGATTAAGATGATTTTGAATCAAATGACAAGGAAGATGATTTTGATGAAGAAGATGAAATTGAATTGAAATCCAATAAAGAGTTAGACAAGATTTAAGATTTTATTAGAATGGTATTAAAACATCGAATTTGATTTTTTTTTTCCTCACAAAATTAATATTTTTAAGCTCAAACGATCAATTTAATTCAATTAAAACTCAAACTAGTAAAGAATTTCAGGATCGTTTATTCAAATGAATCATCATTTTCCAGAGCATATGTTAAGGAATAAATTTACATTGGTTAAATATTAAAATAGTGCAACATACGAGGGTTTGATTATTTATCTTGACAATGTTGATCGTTTAAGATATAAAAAAAATACACGTCTTAATATTAGAATTAGTGCTTGTTTGGTAGGGATTTTTGGGGGAAGAATTGATTTTGAATAGTGATATGATGGAAAATAATAAAAATAATAATAATAATTACGCATATGCTTCTAATCTCAATCGAAATGTATTGTCACTGCATTTTAAAACCTTTAAAATTATTAAAAGAGTTTTAACACCATTGATAATTAAAACATATCTTGATAAAAGCGAATAAGTTAAGAATTATAAAAATTAAATATCTTTGAAGAAGTCCATCGATAATAAATATACCGATTAAAATTTTATTTAATAAT